GGACCCCGGGGCTTCAAGAAGTTCCCCCCGAGGAGTCTCCTGGGCCACGGGCGGTGCCACGACTGCGGCAAAGCCCTGGCGTTCCCCAAGCGCCGGCGCGGGGCGGAACGGCCCCACCAGTGCCCCGAGTGCGGCAAGAGCTTCAGGCTGAGCTCCGCCCTCGTCACCCACCAGCGGCGCCACGCCGGCGACAAGCCCTACACGTGCCCCGACTGCGGCAAGGCCTTCAGCGTGGGCTCGGCCTTCATCCAGCACCGGCGCGTCCACGCCGGCGCCGGCGCCGCGCCCTGCCAGTGCGGCGTCTGCGGCAAGAGCTTCCCGGCCAGCGCCGGCTTGGTGAAGCACCAGAAGCTGCACCTGGAGGAGAAGCCCTACAAATGCGGCGACTGCGGCAAGGGCTTCAACTGGAACTCCCACCTGGAGCGGCACCGGCGCATCCACACCGGCGAGAAGCCCTACGCCTGCCCCGAGTGCGGCAAGAGCTTCAGCTGGAGCTCCCACCTCGACCGGCACCGCCGCACCCACGCCGCGGCCCGCGGGGACCCCTCGTGCCGCTGCGCCGACTGCGGCCGCCCGCCGGAGCCGCCGGAGCGCGGGAAGGGCCCGGCGGCCAAGCCGGCGGCCTCGGCCAAGCGCCGGCACGCCGGCAAGCCCTACGAGCGCGGGGAGTGCGGGAAGGGCTTCGGCGCCGAGGCGGCGCTGGCCAAGCACCGCCAGAGCCGCGCCGGCGCCGCCAAGCCCTACGAGTGCGGGGAGTGCGGCAAGAGCTTCGCCTGGAGCTCCCACCTCGACCGGCACCGCCGCATCCACATGGGCGAGAAGCCGTTCCGCTGCGCCGACTGCGGCAAGAGCTTCTCCCAGAGCTCCCACCTGGAGCGGCACCGGCGCGTCCACGCCGGCGCCGAGCCGCCGCGCCGGTGCTGCGAGTGCGGCGAGAGCTTCCTGGCCTCGCCCGCCAAGCGCCGGCGGCTGCTGGGGGGCGAAAGACCCTCCAAGTGCGGCGAGTGCGGGAAGGGCTTCCCGTGGGCGGCGCGGGCGGCGCCGGAGCGGGGCCACAGGTGCGGCGAGTGCGGGAAGAGCCTCTCGGCCCGGGCGGAGGGCGCGGTGAGGCACCAGGGCACGCAGACGGGCGAGAAGCCCTACGCCTGCCCCGAGTGCGGCAAGAGCTTCGGGCAGAACTCGGCGCTGGCGAAGCACCGGCGGATGCACACGGGGGAGAAGCCCTACGAGTGCGGGGACTGCGGCAAGAGCTTCGGCGTCCGCTCCAACCTCATCAAGCACCAGCGCACCCACCTGGGCGAGAAGCCCTACAAGTGCCCCGAGTGCGGCAAGGGCTTCATCCAGAAGTCCGACCTCACCAAGCACCGGCGGATGCACACCGGGGAGAAGCCCTACGAGTGCAACGTGTGCGGGAAGCGCTTCAGCGTCTCCTCCAACCTCATCAAGCACCAGCGCATCCACCTGGGCGAGAAGCCCTACCAGTGCTCCGAGTGCGGCAAGAGCTTCATCCAGCGCTCCGAGCTCACCATCCACCAGCGCGTGCACACCGGCGAGAAGCCCTACAAGTGCTCCGAGTGCGGCAAGTGCTTCAGCCGCAGCTCCCACCTCAACCGGCACCAGCGAACCCACGGCGGGGACAAGCCCAA